GTCTTCTTTTTCTACCAAAGCATGGACAGATAGTGATCTTCAGTTTCTAGAAAGCCCTATGATTATAATTTTGCTTATTTTAAAAGTGTGTTTTTTTGTGGTTTTTTTTTTTTTTCCGACTTGCCTGCTAATAGTTTCACTTGAGTTTTGAAGAAATCTATGTTATAAAGCACATCAAACCTCATTCCTCATCTGGGGCGTGGATCTTCCTTTTGCAAATATAATACTATTAGGGACTGAGACAGCAGTATGTTTTTACTGTCCAAAATTCAGTTTTGGACTGTAGATACAGGCTAACTTGAACTTCTAATAAATCAGCATTTGGTTTCCTTTTCTTTTAGCTTATGTTTTATCTTTTTCACATGAGACTACAAGTGGTATGCGTGCTGACAACTGGAAGAATGTTTTCCTAAGTAAGAAAGAATTGAATGTTAGGTGGTGCCTGTTTGTTACTGCCTGTACCCTCTCTCCTGTTCCTTCAAAAAACCGAGTTTCACAGGAAACAGCTAGCATGAAATCATCTAATGTAGTGAGATTGCAGTGCATATGCACTAGTTCCTTGCACTGATTCTAGAGCAATTCATTTTCCCATTACCTGTCTTGCATAACCTTTCACAAGTGCCTCAGTTGTGCTTCAAGCTCCTCAGATGTTCTGCAGCGAAGGTGCAAAACAGACAGAAGCTTGTCTGAGGCTGGGGGTATTCAGACCTCAGCACCTGCCTTCTTTTGTTGGCATCACTGCTGCTGCACATCCTGCATATGTTCAGGTGCGGTTATGAAGCACTAAGTACCTACTATCACAGGTTTCTGAAGTAGAGCACTAGAAAATGAGACATTGCTCTAGTTGTGACCACTTCTCACTTAAAATTTTGACCCTCAACCTGTGACCGTGATAGAAATTAGTTGTTCTATGTGGTGATGAGTTAATTGTGTTAACCACAGCAGCGTCCTTTCTGTTTATTCTCTAGGCTTCTTATTGTCACATTTCAAAATGTAAAAACTGATATACTAACTTTGGGATCCTGCAGCCCCTGTACTATATATTGACAGACCATCACCATGATATAACCTCAATAGAAGTAGATGTTTTTCAGATGAAAAAAAATGAAAAGAACGTGACAATGTGCCCCAGGGGATTATAATGTGGAAAAAAATGTTGTGGTAGAAATTGAGGACTACTCCCCTATAATTTCATTTAAGAAGACCAACTCATAGTTGACCAAGGGAGGACTTTATTCCTAAGTTTTTGGGTTGAAGTGAAAGGGAAGAAAATTTTTTTCTGATGGCCAAACTCCTCTTCCAGATGATGGATTCTTCTTGGAGCTCTGTCTCTCCATCTGCCTGACTAGGAGGCCTGAAGCAGCCTCTGAAATACTCTTGGGAAAGTTCAAGTGCTTTAGGGCTGTTTTTTACCTGTGGGTCCCCAAGCTTTACATTCTTTCTTGAGCTTCTGAAAGTTGCAGCACAGGATCTTATTAGACATTCCGTAGAAAATGAAACTGCTTCAGTCAGTTGTTTATTTGTTGCAATCCTAATCTTCTGAAGAAATCTTTGCAAGGGGAGAGACCACGTCCTTGCTTGTCTTACGTTTTCAGTTATTTACAAAGCAGTGTGCAGCAGATCCTCAAATAGTTTTGTTGTTTTTTGGTTTTGGTTTTTGTTTTTTAACTTATGGGTGTATCTCTGGGAGGAAACACATGTTTCTCCTCATGGTCGAGTCCTGGAAGTTGCAGTTTAAATTTGATGAAGTGTTTTATTCCCCCAGATAAAAATAAATAAATAAAAAATTAGATTTAAATGCATTTGTTGATGAGGAAAGTCAGGAATCCTCCTAATTAAGACATTTCTTAGAAAGGTAAAATTTTTATCTGGGAGCATAAAACACTTCATCAGTTTTAAAGCCACATCTGCAAGGACTAGATCAAGAGCAGAAACAGGCATTTTTCTTCATTCTGGCTTGTCTGTGAGTTTAAGACTTTTAACAACAGTTTTAAAAATAGTTAAACCCAGTTAGAAACATTTGCAATATAATAGGGATATGAGTGCCCTCCCTCCCTCTGTTTTTAATCTGGTTCTCTTGATGGGATAAACTACAAGGTTGAATTGGTAACTGGATTATTGCCTCATAAAACAGCACGAGGTTACTATTATCCTTTAATTTTATATCTTTATTAGGGAGTAATGTTGGTCTTATTTAAGTCACTGACTTCTCTAATGGTTTTTCTCCTCTTTTACAAATTTATAAAACTAAACCCTAAAGGATTTGGTCTAAGTGCAGTTGGCATAACTAACGTTATAGAAATCATTGTGTTAGCAGTTGGTTATAATCAGCTGCTTTAGCTGGGCTCAAAATGTAGCAGGATTTAGCTGTTAATAGGTAGAATACTGATAAAATATTAATTCTGAATTTTATTTTAAAAAGCTCAATTTCTAGTAAGAGTATTCAAATTTTGATGTACAACAGAGCCCTAGAAACTATTATAGCGTAGCATGTTTGTGCAAAGGATATATTTAACACGTTGTGTATTTCTGCAAAGATTAAACAGTCTTGTCTTTGTGCTTGCAATTCAGTAAAGTAAGTTAAAAAATAAGTGAAGGTCAGTCTTTTTTAGAAGGTGACTAATACAAGTGGCATATTTAATGATGTGTTCCAGTGGGTACATCCACCTGAATTTTGGGACACAACACACATATTGTGAGTGAGTCATAGGCAGTTCTTAATAGTAGAACACCTGTTGGACTTACATGGTCAGTATGTTTTTAAAATACTGATACATTTTATTTTTTAAGGAAAAATGTGACATCTATCTGTTGATTTCAGTGTGTTTTGGTTAAGACCATGATCAGTATGGAAGGAAACGTGAATATGGGTCTGTCTGTTATGGTATGGATCTGTAATTGAGTTATAGTTGAGTTTCACACATAAAATGGGTGATCTGTCACCTTCAGTGACCAACAGGCAGAATTAGAGCATTTAATGTTTGAATGCAAGCCAGGTACCAATTTTCAGTCAGTAAACTTAGAAACTAGCCAAAAATTGTTCCAAATCTTCTGTTTTACTACTGAGTGCTTGATTGTTTCTTCCCACAGGTAACCTTACTAATGCACTAACATACACACACTTCAGACTCTTAATTAAATTAAAGCAGAATTTGTGTTTAAATTATTTATGGAATATTTTAGGATTGGTTGTGAAAATTCACCCTTGTGTTCAGAATTGCTTCCTTTGGCAGGGGCTGCTCCAGAAAGTGCCATATAGCCATGTGCTTTCTCTCAAAATACCTATTGTTCTTGGTAGGCTCCTTTCTAAAATTTGCCAGTAGTGTGTGTTTTAAAGAAGCCTTTTAATTCCCCTTTTTTTATTTGACAAATACAAGTAAGTTAAAGTTAACTTTAGGATTGGTTAGGATTTAGGATTAGGAAAGGATGTGGGCTCCACATTGACCAAAAATCCATGGGAGATGGTTACTCTTTTGGTGAAGGCATCATGGGTGAAGACATCAATGTTTTGGATCCTTCTGAAATCAAGAGGAGACTGAAGCCGTTTTGAAAAACAGGAATTATTTTCAGCTTTCTGCTAAAGTGAAATACATCCAATATGATTTGCTTGCAATTGGTCTTTTCCTTATGTAACATCATGGCAAAAATTAATGAAATGTGAATGAATATATTTTTGAAACTTAGAGAAGAGGGAAGGAAAACAGGAGGCTGTAATCTGGTGGCAGGAAAAAAACCAGGTGAGACTCAAAAGAACGTAAACTGGGGCTGTAAACATGCATGTGTGTATGTTATAGGAAATATCTAATGCAAAACACAAGGAAATTCTGGGAGTTAAATTTTGGGGAGTAAATGGAGGTATGACAAGTAAGTGGTGCTTCAGACTAAGAGAGGAGGTATTCACAGGCCAACATAGGGTGGTGGGTGGGACTATATGGGTGCACTGGCTGATAGGTCCGTCTCCTTTCAAATGTTCTGCAAGTGCCAAGGGTTATACATTGCTTAATCTCAGGTCAGTAATGATTACATTTATGAATGAGGTATAAATGCTTGCTGGTCAGAATTTAAAACAAAGGTCCATAATATGTTTATGTTATTGGGCATAGTCCCAGGTAATGGTTTATTGGGGTGTCTTGCTGATAAACAAATCCAGGTTGTTTGGGTTCTTTAATTTATGTGTTTACATACTGTTATGTATTTTCTTTTCTTTTAAATGTAACACTAATATTATTATTATTGCATATATGAGATATCCCTGGAACTTGTTTTGTTCTAAATTGTGCAAATTTGCATAACACCAAAGTGGATCTTTTCTGAGAATGGAGATTGTAATGTATTTGTGTGGCTTTATCATTAAGGTTACCGTTCTTACAGAGAACTCTTAGGAAATAGAATTTTCCTATTGAAGATCTCAATATTTGATGAGAGCGATTCACCCTATGAGATAAGGCATAGACATAGCAAATAATTAAGGTAATGTCTGTCATTTAGCACTTTGTAGGGAGCTGCTTGTTATAAACCACTTTGTGTATTTTATTTAATCCTAAAGGAATTTAATGGACCTGAGAGAGAGGACTTCATGCTGATAATTGCATAATAAGCTTTTTCTGCCAGACACTTAATGACTAAGAGGTTATCATTAAGTGTGTATTAAGCAGTTTTGTTCGACATTCCATAATAGTCTTTCTAATACGTTCTCCCAAGGGTTATCTTTCGTTGTTTACTTAAACAGCTGCCTGTAGTAAACATTTTAGCTTTTTAATTGGTTTGTTTTCACAACTACTTTCTCTTGCAGGAGTTGAAGAATTATTACTTAAGCGTGTTCCTGTTTCTGTTGGTGTATTTTAGATAGCTTCCCAAAATAGTACTGGAGGTGTTGAAACATTTTACATGAAATTAGGCTTCACAGAAGTCAATGGGAACTGTTTGTTTATTGCAGATTTGCATTAGAAGGGAGGACCACAGACTAACATGTTATTTTTTTTCTCTTCTTTTTAATTTAGACTACTGAGCTGTAAATTGAAAGGAAGAGAATTTCTACTTGTGGGGGAAAAGAAGGGTGAATAACCTCCATGGAAGACTCTCAGGATCTCAGTGAACAGTCAGTAAGTACAAATGTTGCTAAACTGAATGGAATAAATTGGACTCTATTCAAGTTGCGTTTGAAGAGATTTTACTGCAGATTTGAGAATTATAGTAAGATCTGGGAAAATTTTCTGAGCTTCTAGATCCAAACCGTTTCTTAGCTCATACATGAAATAAGTGGTTTTAATCTTTTTTACCTGTTGAAAGGTAAAAGATTATATTAGTTATATAGGATTATGCAGAACTAGAGTCGTTGGAGGGCTGATGGATATAATTAAGGTACATTGGAAGGATAAAATATTAAAAAGTTGCACAGTGGTATGCCTTGTTCAAATAATTGTATCAAAATGTATATCCATAGTTGTCTGTCAATTTTGCCAAAGCAGGAGTTACCAAAAATGTAAACAAATTTCAGACTGTGGCAGATGACATGAATTGTTTCAGGACTGTCTTGGATTTCAAGGGGATTGTGAAAATTGGCAGTGTGTCTCTCTGTTCCATGTCAGAGGGAGATTCCCCTTGTCATTTATGAAATGGCTGGGGAAAATGGGGTGGAAATTTCTTCTTTTTCCGTTCTAATTTTTCCTTTCTTTTAAGGATGTGGTCTCCAGACTTCCTTACCACCAGGCTGCAGTTCTGAGGAGGCAGCATGCTCCTATCAAATTTAAAGTTGTCTGGGCTTGCCATCCAAAGTATTGACTTTGGTTTTAACATCTTAATTTCTAGTGGTCACAGTACTGGCAGATTTTGCAAGTACCATGATCCCCATGAGTCTCAGCTTGGGCTTAGTGTACTAAAGATCAATAAGGGGATTTTGTATTTCTATTTCTGACATGCTGAAAGAGGTTATCCATGTAATAAACTAGATTTAATATATATTTTTTTTTATAGCAAAGACTTTTATAGCTTACACAAGTGCAAGGAACTGAGAAGAGTTGTATGTATTTTTAAAATGTCAGTAATTTTCTTTAATAAGGAGTACTTTCCTCCTGACTGGATAGCTCCTATCTGAGACTATCTTGGCCTAGAGTTTTATTACTGATTTAAAATGGTACAGAACTGGAAAGTTTTAACAGTGTCTGAAGTCATCATGGTGGCACTACTTGGGACAGCTGCACGTATTTATGTATTTAAACCGTTCCCAACCAAAACTTTAGAGCATGTAAAAGCTACATGGCTTCATAATTTAATAAAGTTTTATAAAGGTCATAAAAGATTAAGCAGAAGTTCTCTCACAGTCTGTGAAACAATTATTCTGTGCAGCATATATAGCATGTTATTAATAGGAAGTAGACAAGCCAGTTTAATGCAGAAATGTGTTTTCATAGTAGTTAAAATGTTTTTGCATCACTGGATGCCTGATAAATGCATACTTTAGTAACTATTTTACTACCTTATTGTAGTCTAATTTCTGTAGTATTTTTCATTGTTACTACATAGCTTTAAGCTAAGATGTGAGAACAGTCTTGCAGAGTATGAATTGAGGTGAAATCTGTGCCATGTTGCACATGGAGATAGGATGTGCTGTCAGTACGCTATTGTTAGTGTCACAGAAAATTGTGATTCAAGACATGAGTTTATTCTTCTTGGTCGTTGTTGAACAGTGGCAGAACTTCAATGTAATGGATGGGAAGAGTCCCTTTCATCAGTCCCTTCATCCAGGTGTGCACCCAGACTAGGATCTCACCCAGGTGTTGGGCACTGTCCTGGAAAAAGGAATTGTTAGAGCAGATAACTGAACCTTTATTTGTTAGAGCAGATAACTGAACCTAGAGCAGATAACTGAACCTTTATTTCTCCATGCTGAAAGCCTTTTCACTATTGTATCATAGTTAAACTCTCACAGCCAAGTTTTAAAAAAGAAAATGTTTCTGGCTTAGTTCTTTAAAAGCTACAGGATAGGACTGTGGGCTAGAGATCCCAGGTAGAAAGGGGTGTTTTCTAGTCGAGGCTTTGATGGTTTAAGCTTGAGGAAAGTATCAGATGTATATCCTACAGCCCTTCTGCTTGTACTGCCCTGGTGTTTTGTAGTGGTTATGTGTTTTGTACTTGCTAGCTCTAGGCAGCTTCTGCAGGTTTTCTGGTTCTTGACATGTTCAAGGAGCCTAGGTACTTCATTCTGGCTTCAGGATTCCTCTCTGGGAGCTGGGTGTGCAGGATTTAGACCATGGAAATTCAAGGAGCCTAAGGATCTAGCTGCTGCTGGAAGTGTATTAGATCGTGTGAATAAGCATGAATGCAAGACCTGTGCTCAAACTTGTGCTGGCACTTTGCCCTGAATATTCTAGTCCTTGGTTACTTGAAAAACTGCCTGTCTTTGCAACCGAGATGGCTTAGAAGGTACTTACTGTTGGATAGTATGTTTGATGGAATTTAGTTTTCCGAATAGAGAGATTCCTTTATTGAATTAATTTACCTGGGCAGTCTGGTCAGAACTTTTCATCCTTGGGAACGGAGACCAGGCACATTTACTTGAGTTAGTTAACGAAGCTAATTTTCAAGTTTTATTTTAAAGAAAATAAATTATTCTAACTTCTGCAAGTAGGTCATCCTCCTGAATTATGGACTGTACTGTAGCTTTTATTGTGACAGTCTTCTTCATAATTCTGTTATTCCTACTGTTGTTTTAACTTGAGGTTTTGTTGCTTACTCTTCTTTTAAAATAGATTAATAAGAAATTATTGGTTCTATGATTCCTGTTCTTTAAGCATATCACAGTCAGGTGAAACTGATAGGATCATAGTTATGAGCAGTTCCACAGCATCCCTGTTGCTGTATAAAAAATAAAGTTCCACTTTTGTCTCAGAGCAGTAACTGCATGACCACATGCTGCTTCAGAAATCTAAGTGCACCCCTGTTCTCTGAGCCTCTAAGGAATTGCATTTGACTGAATTGACCAGCTGCTGTGTTCTCTGAGCTATCAGCTTGATTAGATGCAATATATACACTATTTATTGCATTGTCACTAATTTATTTATTTTCCCTATTTTTATCTGTAGCAAATTCCTTGCTCCTGCTACATTATAAATCATTATGCACCGACTGACCACAGGTCAGTCTCCTTGCCTGCTTCTCATAGCGTAGAGCCTCTGCTGAGAGATCTCTCGTGCTTGCTTCTCTTTGCCTTCTCACTCCTGGTCCCATGTGGCAGAAGTGGGGGAATCTAGTCTTAATCTAGATTGTACAGTGATCAAAAGAATCAGAAGCAGAGCGGAATTTATTATTCTTCAGTTTTCCTGTATTTGCGTGCAGCCACATAGGTAAATAGCCATATTTTGAAGATCAGCAGGAAAATTATTCAAGTTACTACCTTGCACAGAGGAGAGCTGGGATCTGTCAGGTGCGTTTGAGATCCAGGGAGTTCCTGCAGCTGGCATGGAGTGGGCTGGGGCTCATCAGTGGTACTGTACCCTCTACAGGGGCTGGGGGGGTAAGGTGTGTCCTAAAGAGCTCACACTCTCTTTTACTTTCCCAATTCAGATGCACAATATGCTTGTACACCGTGCATAGGAAAGAAATTTGTTTATGAGTATTCTGAAAGAAATCGAAAAAATAGTAGCACATTTATTTCAATTAGAAGAAGGTAACCAAAAGGTCCTTTTTATATTCTGATGTGATGTCTGTCACCATGTGCAGGCTGCTACTTACCAAGTAAAAGAATACTTAAAACCACATAAATTGGTTTTATGCAGACAGATGTAGCTAGGTAAAAAAGTAGTCTTAGTAACTGTGATTGCCAAAGATTTTATACACACTAAAAAAAAAAAAGTAAACGCGTTCATTTTTTAATACTATTATAGCTATCGTTCAAAATAATATGCGAATTTTTACTAAATTCTAACTAGAAATAATTTTTCAAAAGATTCATATTAAAAATTCTTCTGTTTAATTTTGAAATGGGAGAGAGGAAACTTTACAGATCTTCTATTTATGAAGAATCTAGCAATTAGGAGACAAGTCTTTTAAGACTACTCTCGGAGATGGTTAATAAAATGATAAATGTTTAATACATAAATAGTCTTCAGTTGTGCCTTGGTATAGCAAACAAACATAGGATTTTGAGAGCCACCGAAGTTTTACACTATTTTATCTTCTTCTAGACATCATTTGCTGTTCAATCTGTATTAGAAGAAAAATAATTTGGCTGCTAACTTGCTAGTTTAGGATTTCAAATGGCCTTGTTAGAAACTGGTGTAATTTCATCCCCTGGCCCTTTTATATAACAGTGTGCATATTTAGATTACTTCATTTTAACCTAGAATTAAACAATAGATTGCAGTGCTGTAGGATAGGACACTAGCAGATGTGAGGCTAAACCTGCACGAACAGGTTTTCATTTTTGTGACGTTTGGACAATCATCTCCATTGTGCCCTGGGTAAGTAATTTGTTTTTCATCAGATTATACAGACTATCATATCTGTTACTTCCATTTATGTCCTACTTGCAGCTGGACAATCCCTGGCAACTTTTTCAGACAGTGTTGTTTCCCTGTTTTTGTTTTGTTTTAACGTGTGAAGGTGTCAGATGTGATCCCCTTGCAGATCAGTTTTCAGCTGTAGCTACTTCTGTGTTGCATGAGCCCCGTGCCTGCAGCATTTAGTCTTCCCCGCTCTAGGGTGGGCAGCCTGGGAACTTCAGCTGAAGCTCATTTCAGTGAAATTAAAAATAGTTTAAACTCTTTTTACTGAGTTTTAAATGTCAGTTGTACTTTAGAAGACTGTTCTATATTGCAATATAGCATGTTGTCGTTCTTATCTCTGTGATATCAATTTTTGTAAGACTTGGAATATTACAGGCAATTCATCTTGTCAAATTAGCAATGCTGGTTGATAGAGACCTCTGGAAGTTATCTAATCTAGCTTCTGGTCATGAAATGCTGGCAGTATTCGCAAATATTTCACTGTTATGAGAGCAATGAACTATATTAAATATCAGTAAGCAAGTGCCTTCTGAAGAAATAATGCATTTAGCAAGCAAAAAATAGTTGCCTTAATGAAAGGTTATTTGCTTTTAATTAAA